GAGACAGGGTTTCTCTGTGTAGCTTTGGAGCCTATCCTGGCCCTCACTCTGGAGACCAGGCTGGCCTCGAACTCACAGAGATCCGCCTGCCTCTGCCTCCCTAGTGCTGGGATTAAAGGCGTGCGCCACCAACGCCCGGCTAACATCACACTTTCTTTAAAGAAGATTTCACTAAGTTGCCCAGGATGTCAAACTTCCTGCCTCAGCATCCAGAGTGCTGAGATTACAAGTATGTGCTATCAGGCCTGAATCAGAGTGAATTTTTTTTTTTTTTTGGTTTTTCAAGACAGGGTTTCTCTGTGGCTTCTGGAGGCTGTCCAGGAACAAGCTATGGTAGACCAGGCTGGTCTCAAACTCACAGAGATCCGCCTGCCTCTGCCTCCTGAGTGCTGGGATTAAAGGTGTGTACCACCATTGCCCGGCTTAAAAAAATTTCTTTAAGTGTGTGTGTGTGAGTATGTGTGTATGTTGGGGTTATGCATACAAGGGCAGCATCTATGGAGTCTAAAACAGCATCTGATCCCCAGGAGCTGCAGTTAGTGGCAGTAAACTGGATATAGGTGCTGGGAACTGAACTAGGGCCCTCTCTAAGAGCAACAGACAATCTTAACCACTGGAGTTGTCTCCCCAGCCCCTCAGAGTGGATCTTTAAACCACAGTTCCCACGATGCCCAGGGAAATGTAGCTCATAAGCTGCCATTATTAACTACTTATCAGGAGATGCTAACTCTGTGTCCACTGATCACATCTGGCAGTTTGGAAAAGGCTGAGCATTTGCATTGCAAAGCAACAAACAAAAAACAGGAAGAACAAAAAATTTAAAAGTTAGACCGAGGACTGGTCTGCAGCCTCATTGCTCAGGCAAATGAATGAATAGGTTGAAGCCACCACTGAGTGGCCAAGAGCTGCTCTGCAGACACACGAGCAACATGGGAAGAAGGCGGAAAAAAAATAGTTAAAAAAAAAAAAGTCGGGCGAGGGGGTGGTGGGGCACGCCTTTAATCCCAGCACCTGGGAGACAGAGGCAGGCAGATCTCTGTGAATTCAAGGCCAGCCTGGTCTACAAAGCTACACAGAGAAACCCTGTCTAAAAAAACCAATCAATCAATCAAACCAATCAATCAAAAAGCTGGCCAAGTATGGTGGCACAAACCTGTAATCCCAACACCGAGGGAGCAGAGGCAGGAGGGCAGCTGAAGTGTGAGACCAGTCTGGTTTGTATAACAAGTCCAGAACAGCCAGGGCTATAGAGTGAGC